AGGGAGATAATTTTTTATCATATATGTAAGCCTTGTTGAAAACAGTGTATACTTTCAAGATATTCTGGAGGCAGTACACCACCTGTTTCCCTTTGAGATTCTTTGGCTTTCAAGAGAAAAAGAAAATCTTTCAAATTTCATGAGCTAGCTTACCTTTGTTTTCCTCAGAAGCTATGGCTTATTGAAAAGAAAATCCTGATCTAACAATGCTGAGAAATGCTTTTCTCTAGTCCAAATTAAGGCTGATGTAAGGAAAAATCCAGTAAGATACTGAAAGCAAGAAGCCAGGGTACCAAACCTTTGGGACTTAGACCATGCCTTTGTCAATACGGGCCCTCAGAAAATTCTTCTATCTAGAATAATATCGGCTAGTAAATGGAGAAGGAAGTACAGAATTAGAAAATTATCATTTTATAGTTACTAATGAAATCACTGATTAAGGCAATGATTATCACCACCACCAAGACCCTTAGATGAAAAGTGGATAGGAAACTGGATATTTACATGATGACAAAGTGTCTCCTACAGCCAAAGGCCAGTCGCAGGAGAAATATAAGATCACAGGGCTAGACCCAAGCTGCCAATACATTACTTGTCTACTGAAGTAATTAAATATGAAGGACACAGCATCATGCATGAAGAGTTTTACCAAAATGTTTACCCTGGATCTAATCAAATGTTTAGATGGAATGTTTAGTTCATGTGGGAATTAAAGAGGAACCAAAACATTCACAGCAGGAGGAGGCAATCAGGCAATTCAGAAAGAAGGAATTTCTCTAGGACAATTAGCCCCGTTCCTTCAAAATCTTCAACAAGTCAGGGTCATGAAAAAAAGTATAGTATTAGATGAAAAGAGACTTAACAGACGTAACAACCAAGAGTGATGTTGATTGGATCTTCATTTAAACAACTCAGCTGTAACACTTTGGGGGGCAAATGGGGAAATTTGAGCATGAACTGGTCATTTGAGGATTTTAAAAATTATTATTAATTATATTAGGCATAAAAATTGTATGGCGTTTCTCTAAAAAAAAGACCTTTGCTTTTTAGAGATGTACACTGAAGCTAATTTACAATTACAAAGATATAGAACCAGCCTAAGTGTCCATATGAAGTGGATAAAGAAAATGTGGTATGTATACACCATGGAATACTACTCAGCCATAGAAAGGAATGAAATAATATCTTTTGCAGCAACTTGGATGAAGCTGGAGACCATTATTCTAAGTGAAGTAACTCAGGAATGGAAAACCAAATACTGCATGTTCTCACTTATAAGTGGGAGTTAAGTTATATGTACACAAAGGCAAATGACTGAGATAATGAACTTTGGAGACCTAGAAGCAGGAGGATGAGGTGGGTGTGAAAAAAAAAAAAAACCTATATATTGGATACAATGTTCACTACTCAGGTGACAGGTGCACTAAAATCTCAGATTTCACCACTACATATAATTTACCCACATAACCAAAACCACTTGTTCCACAAAAGCTACTGAAATAAAAATAGTTTTAAAAAGATGCATGCTGAAGGATTTATTGGTGAAACGCCATCATATAAATAATATGCTTTAAATTTCAGCACAAAAATACATACAACCAATATGGAAAAATGCAAACAATTGTTAGATCTACATGATGTGTATATGAGAGTCCATTTTACTGTATACTAGTCTCCCTACTACTTGGCATTTGTCAGAATTATTTTTTAAATTGAGTGGTTAGCATGGCTTTGAGCTATGGCAGGGAGGAAGCATGAGTGTTCCAAGACGACGCTCCCTAATTCCAGTTGCTTTGAAAGTCTGATGACACCATCAGGGAATACTGGAATACTGCTGCTGTAAAAGCCTCCAATGTCAAATCTACCTTCCCTTTATTTAACAGAGAATAAACGGAACTCCAGGGAGACATAGTAAATTTCTCCAAATCACATAGTTAATAAGAATGTGGTCTAGGTGCAGAAATCAGATTTATTGGCTGCATGTCCAGCCCTTTCCACTGCACCCAGGCCCTCAGCAAGCAGCCCTACAGCCTCTACACTTTTGATGAAAGGAAGAAGTGGAGCCATATCTGGAGAAGCTGTAATTGCTATCAGGATTCAAGGAATGCTGTCAGGTCCAGAATGCGTTCCCCTCAGTCTCACTTAGACTTGCTGGTTCAAGGCAGAGCTAGGTGCAAGCATTTGCCAAGATCGTGTGTAACAGCACAAAGTGACACACACAAGTTAGAGCATATACACAAAAGAGGAAAAGCAGTTCCAAAAGCCTCTCCACCCTCACCTTGGATTTCTTCTCCAAATGACAGAGTGAAAAGAGGTAGGCATTGGGGTCAGAGAGCATTCCGTCCTCATTCTACCACTCATAATCTGAGAGTCACTTAACTCACCTGATCCCAGCTTCGTCACCTATAAAATGGAAACAGCAATGCGAGAGGGGATGCAGGAGAAACTGCCTGTCACAAAAGATGGCACACAGACATAACAGTTTAAAAACTTCCATTTCTGTCCCTTTATCTTTCCCTTAACCAAATGATAATGATTGACTTACAATGAAAAAACACACAGACCACTGCATTATTTATCAGGAGACCATTTAATAACTCCTGTTCTCCTGCTATCAGAGTTTGTTCAGATTTTCTCACGTTTTCTTTGCCTAAAGAAACATTTGGTTATCAAAATATGCACCTCATATTAGCTCAGGAAACCAAAAAGGGGGGAAAAAAGATCTTCATTCTGTTGCTGCAATAAAGGTTTCCTTCTCTAGCGATAATCAACTCTGCATAATTAAAATCGTTCAGACTGCTGAACTAATTTTCAGACTGGAGGTTTCTTCCTGTAGCAACACTTACAAGCAAAGTTTCTACTGTGAATGAATTTAATCATAGTCTAATTACAATTTTAATGAATATCCCCGGCCCTGCATGTAAACTTGCACTCAAAGGCTTTGCTATCTGTTAGGGTATTTTAAGGTCTTTTCATTTTTAATATAAAGGAATGTGTTGGCAAAATGACAGTGTAGAAAAGAAATCTTCCTTCTGGTTTAGTTTGGTTTGGTTTTGACAATCACGTGAGAAAATGTAAACGGTCTGATATTTTAAAGAGCTTTTTCAGTTTGGGCATTTCACCTTTAGATTTTAAGTGCTCTTTCCTTAGGGATCAAGAGCACACTTGCATTCCATTTGGATTCTAGAGTACAATTTTCCAAATCGGTGTTCAAAGGCACTGTACGTCTATACAGAGTAGGTAGACTGGGTGTAGTGGCTCACATCTGTAATCCCAGCTACTCAGAAGGCTAAAGGAGGGAGGTTCTCTTGAGCACAGGAGTTCCAGACCACCCTGGGCAATATAGTGAGACCCTGCCTCTACGATTAAAAAAAAAAAATTAAATTATCTGGGCATTGTTACACGTGCCTGTAGTTCTAGCTACTCAGGAGACTGAGGAGGGGGGATCATTTAAGCTGAGGAGTTCAAGGTTACAGTGAGCTATGATAGCGCCACTGCACTCCAGCCTGGGCAACAAAGTGAGATCCTGTCACTAAAATAAATAAATAAATAAGCTAATATCTACCCATCACTCATTTAAATAGTTCATTTTACAGAAAAGACTGCTCTGGGTTTCTGAGGCACAGTTGAGTGAACCCCAAATGGTGTAGGCTCTCTAAACTGCCTATGTACTTAAAGTTTGGGGGAATTTGATTCTAGGAAATCAAGACTTTTAACTTTAAACTTTATCTACCTCTCTTCCAGACTTCAGGCATACCAAAATCCTGCTCATTGCCTTCTTTGTATAATATGAATATGTGCCGTTGAGACAAATCTTTTCCAAATCTCCCACTTCTTCCTCCTAATGTTTATCTTGACTCCAACTTCCCCTCACCACTCCTCATCATAGCCATATGTGAGAGATTATTCTAAAACATAAGAAGAAATGCAGACCACCCTAAACCCATGGGAAGGGCATGAGAAATTATTTCCTAGAAAGAGCTGTTGTTTTAGGACCCTAAAAATGCACAAGGTGAAAAAGGAGATGGGGATTCAAACCGAGGTCTACTGGCTTCATGCTATAGTTTGAGGGAGAAAAAACCTAATTCCATATTGGACAATGGAAAATGGGAACAGAAATGGACAATAAGGGGGAAATCCCACTTTCAAAAAGAACTCATATTTCATTGAATCAGTTTGCTGCTCTCCTAAAATCATAAATTCTATGAAGATACTAACAAGTTGTTTTGGGATGAAATTTTGATTCTTTGAAGGGTGAAAATGAATGTACTAAAATGGGGAAAGAAATAAAGCTTTTTAAATCTAGGAAGGCTGAGGAAAGCAAATAATGAAATACAAATGCAGAACAATTTGACCCCAGCCAACAATGTAGAAACCTAGATGGGATTAAAAATATATATATATACACACACACATACACACACACACACACACACACACATATATAAGACAAAACATTACTAAAGGTACAAATTTTCCAGTAATTTTGACTAGTCCAAGCTACTTAAATCCTTTTATATGTATATATTAAAAGGCTAGAATTGTAATATATAGGACAACAAGAGATGCCTAGAAATTTATTTCAGCTGTGGCTAAAAAGAGGCAAGAGGCTTCATGAAGAAACTCAACAGAGACCAATCAGGAGGTCCAGATGGCACAAATCTTTGGGTCTTGAGGAATTACGTAATAAACTTACTAAATCATTGCCATTATTTTTATAAGTCAAATAGCAGGAGAGTTGCTTAAATGCCTTTTATCTGAAAGGGTTTATTTTTTTTCCTTTCCTCTTGTCTTTTAATACAGGTTGAATCAGGTTATGAAGAACATTTCACCCGAATGAAATACAGTACTTGCCAATAACCAACATCAATCTAAGAGTCAGATCCAGAAAAATTATACAACTTAAAATGCAGTCAGGGTAATGCTTCAAAAAGTGATAATGAGATTCCTTCAAGTTGGACCCGTTTCTAAGTTCTTACAGACAGCTGCTTTACCATGCGGTGTGATGCTGGATCACACAGAGGTCCATGAAGACTACGCACATAAAAACAGTGGTTGGAAAGAACCAGGCTTGGTGTCAGGAGAATGGAGTCAGTCCCCTTTCCCCTCATGAGCTGGGTGACCATGGGTGAGTAAATTAACCTCTCTGAGCCTTGTAATCATGAACTATCTATAAAACTGGGAAAATGAGGCCTGTTATACCACTCTCAATGAATTTAAAAGCTAAAAATGCATCAAAATATAAGCTAGTGTTATTATTTTGAACTGCTACTATGCTGAGAAAATTCGTAAAAATTCTGGGAGCATTGACAATGATTTTTAGCCCATGCCAGGCAATCTAAAACTTAGACTGGAAAAATATTTTGAAATTATAAAAGACTGTGCCAATTACGTTTACGATAAATGTAAGGCATCTCAGTGGGGGAAAACTGTCATTTATTGCGTGTTTCTTATGGGTCTGACCTTGTGCTCAGGGCTTTACATACATTACTCAAATTTTAATCCAGTGAAGTTGGGTGATATTCCAGCCCCATTCTTCTCAAGGGAGAAGTCAGGCTCAGAGAGACTGGATTGCACATCCATGATCTTCTTAGTGGAAGGTAGAAGAGCTAGGATCTAACCCAGAAAGTCGGGATCCAGAAACTGCTCACTTCACCGACACTAGGCTCTTACATGAAAGATGAAGATAAACAATAGCAACAGAAGACGATGGCTGCAGAAGCCTTTAGGCAAACCATCACGACCAGTGTTGATCACATAAATAAAAAAATCACTTGAGGCAGTGAATCACAAAAATGATACACACAACCTTTAAATGTTTTCTTTAAAATATATAAATATTTTAATAGAACCATTATTTGAAAGTTGTTAAGAAAAAGAACAGTTTTCGAACTGTACTTTTGAAGCACGTACATTGGTTATGCTGTAATATAGTTGGCTGCTGATTCAATAAAACAAAACTCTTCCCAGGGCAGCTTTGGCTTCTAAATATGAAGATTTGGGCTCTGGACTTGGGATCATACTTCCTTTCCCCTTTTTATTTTTTGATTTATTTATTTCTATCATGGCCTTAATGATTCTTCCCTGGCCCTTAGTATATACTGCATAAATAGGAATCATTAGTTCATTGTCATATATTATCTTTCTTTAAATCACTGGAAACTCCGATTTTGTCTGGGTTCAGTTACCAAACTGATTTCACTCTTAATTAATCTCTTATAGTCCAAAATGTTTCCAGTGCTGTCAACTTCAGGCAATGTTTTTTTTTCTCTAAGACTTAGTAAATATAAAACTGGTAATGTCACTCCCCACTAAATGCTATGTGAAAAGAAAATAACCCTTTAATGTTAATTATTTTTAATGTATGGTGCCTATATATTCTTTTCTTCTGTTTTTTCCTAAAATGAAACTCCAAAATTATTTTTAAAACATTTTATAGTTCATTGATCCGTAACTTGGAACAAGGATGTTGCATTCTGTTATAAAAACCTGGCATTTATTTAAATCACTTTCTTTACATTATTCATAACCAAAACATGAAGGAGCATTATTTTAGACCAAAGGCCTTCAAAGTTTTTGCCAGAAATACAAGACAAATTTTACATGACAGCTAGGAATTTTATATCATGTATACACACATACATACATGCTCACACATATACACACAAAAATGTATAATAAAACAATTTTCATAAAATGCCTTTATAGCATATAATGCACACTGACATTTTCTATTCTGTTTTATTCAATTTCATTTCATTTTTGAAAATCCTTTGTCCCAACTCAGTAAATTTATTTCATGACCCACCAAAGAATAAAAATCTACAATTTGAAAAACGTTGATAAAGAAAGCATAGGCTTTTCAGACAGCTATTTTCTTCAAGTACTTCTTCACAGAATGTATACATTCATGGAAAAGAAATCAATTTATAGAATAACTCAGTGTCTGTCCATGATGAGTTTTACAAAGAATACTTATCTTGTAAAAACAAATAATTCATATCTCTTAAATCTTGAAGACTTTTTTGTTGGCCAATAATAAAAGTCAAAATTTGAAATTCCACTTGCATTGCTATGGGCAGCTGCTGCACGTCTTTGCCCGGATTTTGCGTAGACTGGTAGCACTTGCTTTACCTTTGCACCATGCTTTTCTAGAAAACATCTTGTAATTTAGAACTGCTTTCTATTGGAGAGTTATTCCCTAATCTTTTTTTTTTTTCCTTTTGATAAGTGACTTTAACTCCTCTGTAAATTTTTAAGCAGCGGATTGATTTGAGGGCAGAGGCAACTTCTGCCCTCCAAGACCTAATACCTGGATAGCATGGCTTTTCCTATATTCAAGCCATCCATCGGTTGCTACAGAGCTGTCAGTGCTTCCCATCTTTTGATGCAGGGCTAAGGCCTCTTTTGTAACTATCCATCTACTGATTGGCATTCTGTGTATTCTTTCTTGCATAAGCCACATCAATAATATATCAGTCCTAGTCATTAATTTCAGTTTCTTTAGAGCAAGAATTTAAAGACACTTGGAAAGCCATGAAATTAGAGAAACTTTCTAGATGATTATATGTTCCCCCAAAACTTTTACAATTATCTTACTGTAGTTCTTCTCTTTTTTTTAGCAACATTCCTTTAAATCCATATTATTCAATGTAGTTTTTTTTTTTCAACTTTTATTTTAAGTTCCAGGGTACATGTGCAGGATGTGCAGATGTGTTACATAGATGATCTGTGCAGCAAACCACCATGGCACATGTTTACCTCTCCTCATCTCTACTAAAAATACTAGAAATTAGCTGGGTGTGCTGGCACATGCCTATAAACCCAGCTACTTGGGAAGCTGAGGCAGGAAAATAGCTTGAACCAAGGAGGCGGAGGTTGCAGCAAGCCGATATCACGCCGTTGCACTCCAGCCTGGGTGACAAGAGTGAAACTCCATCTCAAAAAATAAAATAAAATAAAATAACAGAGGATGGGTTAAGAGAGCTTCCACTGTCCCATAGCAGAGGTCAAAGCCCAGTGGGAAGCAGTCAGGAAAGTATCACAGCCTGGGGCCTCCTGAAAGTAGACCCCAAGGCGAGAATTACAGTGCTGTCACTTCAATTATTAGGTACAAGCCTGGGGTGCTGAGTGCTAAGGGAAAAGGTGAAATAAGGTAAGGAAAGAGACTGAGCAACACAGTTCAATGCAACAGCTACCATATCACAATTAACAACAAAGAGATACAGTTGGCAACTCAAGACACATGTTTACTCACCACACAAGATCTCTCTGGGATCTCTGGAAACAGGAACTGCACAATCTCACCACAATCCAAAAGAGACAAAAGGAGTTGGAATTTATGGACCTAGCTTCCCTTCCCATCTCCTGATTCCTATTGTGAAAGGATCACCCTAAAGGGATTTGATTGCCCCACTCTTCAGATTCCATCTTCCAGCCTCTTGGCATCCAATCAAGGACTCAGATATCATATTCCATGGTGGGACTTTTAAGTTCTAATCTTGAAAGTCTGGAAGCAGAGGGGCTTGCTTGTAAGGCATGGAGACAATGCAGTTCAGAGCTCTAACTGTGAGAACCAGCCAGCTCAGGGAGTTCATAAGGACACCAGAAAATGAGGTGACGGCATTTTCCAGAAGGTGTGCAGAAGCATTAGAATAAGAAAGTGGTTAAGAGAATCTGACAAGGTGAACAAGGTTTGTGTTCAACACAGCTTAAAACAGAAAACACTGGGAAAGTAAGGACATTCCAGGAAGAAGGAATGATGCATTTCCAGACTCAGCAGGTAATATCTGCACCCCCATGTCCATTGCAGCATTGTTCACATCAGCGAAGATATGGAAACTGCCCAAATGCCCATTGGCAAATGAATGGATAAAGAAGATGTAACAGATGCATACAATGGAGTATTAATCAGCCTTTAAAATAAAGAAGGAAATTCTACCATTTCTGACAACATAGATGAAGCTGGAGGAAGTTACGAGAAGTGAAATAAGCCAGACACAGAAGGACAAATACTGCATGATTCCACTTATATGTAGTATCTAAAATTGTCAGCCTCATAGATGCAGGAAATAGAATGATAGTTGCCAGGGGCTGGAAAGAAGAGGAAATGGCAAATTGTTGCTCAGTTGGTATAAAGTTTCACTTTTACAAGATGAATAAGTTCTAGAGATCTGCTGTATAACATAATTTAGCCTATAGTTCATCATACAGTATTTTGCACTTTAAAGTATGTTAAGAGGATAGAGTTCGCGTTAAATGTTCTTATCACAAAAAAATGAAATAACAGTAACAACAAAATTTATGAAAGAACACAACGAAATTTTTGTAGGTAATGGATATGTTTAGTACCTTGATCATGGCAATGGTATCGTAGGTGTATGAATGTGTCCACATCCATCAAAATGTATACATTAACTGTACAATTTTTGAATATCAATTGTACCCCAATAAAGCTTTAATAAAATACTCAGTGAAAGGAAACAGTGTGGCTTTTTCTGCAGAGTGCAAACAGTAACGCGGGCAGCATGCGGGGGCATTCTAGAGCAGGACAGGAGAAAGCTCATCTCATTTCACTATGACAGCCCTGTTACACTACTGACTTACAAAGAACTTAGAGTCAACTAAAACCCCTACATTGTCTTTTTTACACATTCAGACCAGATTAGCACTCAGGTGTCCCAATTTCTGATTCTCATCCACCACACTGCATGCCCACTAGAAAATATCCTTCTCATGAGAGCGGGGTCTCAGGGAAAATATGGAATACAGACAAGCCTTAAAGAAAGTAAAACTGCTTATTTCTTCCACATAATGCAGCCTACATATTTCACAGAATTAATGTTGACAGAATTCACAGAGTTTAGGGAAAAGCAAGAGCCAGCGCACACGTGATTTCTTCCAGCCATTTCAAAGCTCACAATTTCTCTGCCATTGGTAACCTACCATGGAGAATTCATTTCATGCCTGTCTACTCTGGTAAAACCTTGGAATGAATTGAATTGTTACAAAAAGGTGAAAATTAAGAATGCCAAGAGTCATTTGATGCAGCTAATTAAGAGTCGTCATCTCTGCAGTTTTGCACGTGTTCCTGACTTGCTTTACCCGTACTTTCTGAAGTTTTATCTG